AGGACACACACTGTCACAGACGCATGACAATCTGTCTCAATCTGTCCCCCTGCTGATATTCTGCATTCTATATTCTGCGCTTCAGGCTGTGTGTGTGTGTGTGTGTGTGTGGGGGTGTGGGGGGGTGGGGGGGGGGGGGGTGGGGGGGGTCTTGTTCTGTGTGAAAACGAAGCGGTACAAGTGATAATGCTGCAGGATTTCAGGATTGTATCCTTCTCAGCAGCAGCACTGCAGGTGCTCTCCATGTCCAACATGTGCGTCAGCCAGGTCCTTAGTCAACTTAAAGTTGCGCATATTTTTCCGCCAAGTTTTCTTTCATAAATCCCAAAGTTTGCGTGGAAGGTTGCTTACGCAGTTTTCTGACCCTGTTTTGTGCGTAAGCAAGCTTTATAAATGAGGCCCCTGGTCATTAAGCCAATCAGTAAAAGGTTTCCTAAATAAGGAACCCAGCAAATTGCATCAAGTCACTGACTAGTGTCGGAGTCTTTACAGCAATCCTCATACTAAGCAAACATTTAGCGACAGTGGAGAGGAAAACTCCCTTTTAACAGGAAGAAACCTCCAGAGGATCCTGGCTCAGTATAAGCAGCCATCTGCCACGACTCACTAGGGATGGAGAAGACAGAGCAGACACTTATGGGATTTTTCACAAGTAAAATTAATTATATTAGAAACTAAATCTTTAGCATCCTCCCTAATGGGATTTCTTCTTCCTCAGTAAGTGAGGCAGCATAAGAGGTAACTGAAGAACCTCATCTGTGTTTTAACTGTTTTGATCCAGTTGAGCTTTCAGAGTTATCAAAAATATTAGCTACATCTAAACCTTCAACTTGCATTTTAGATCCAATCCCAACCAAATTATTTAAAGATGCATTTCCTTTGGTTACTGCCCCCATTCTAGATATAATCAATCTATCCTTAGTAAATGGATATGTACCACAGGATTTTAACCCCAAAATTCCACTGTTTCCGCTCCGCCCCTGCTTTCCGCTGCCGCTTGCTTCCGAACTCTAATTATACTGTACCCGCTCTACAACGGCTCCGTTCCGGTGCGGAGACCTGAGGTGCGCAAACAGGCATGTGCGGGATTTTCGAGATCTTGCGATACAGTCCGAGCAATAAATAGGGAAGTTAGATCCAAACAACCGTTGTGTGGGAGAAGCATAGAAATGAACTGTTTAATCTACCCATCATTTGTGTTGAGAGATCAGCAGTGTTTGGATCAACAAACGGTGACTGCTTTGATAGTAGAAACTGTATTTATGGCTTATTTATGTGCATTTAAAGTTCAACTGCCATTGATAGTTGTTAAAAGTTGTTAAACCTGTGCATATGAAAACAACTGCTTTTTGTTATCGATTTATTGTGAAAAAACGGAAGCTGTGCTTGCTTCCTTTCCTGTTGGGCGGTTGTGATTTCTGTCCATTGACTGTGAAGGTGCTCCAGCGTCCGGCAAAAATAGAATCAATCCTATTTTTGCCGGATGGCGGAACGGCGGGCGGTGCACTGCACCGCATGGCCGCAGTAGTAAAACAGCTCTGATTGACTACAACAGGACCGTTTCTGCTGCGGAGTTCGTGCCGGAGCGGAGATAGTGGAATTTTGGGGTATGGTTGCTGTAATCAAACCTTTACTTAAGAAGCCTTCTCTGGAGCCAGATGACCCAATGAATTATAGACCAATATCTAACCTTCCATTTTTATCCATAGTCCTGGAGAAAATAGTGGCCATCCAAGTATGTGAGCATTTAAACACAAATGATCTGTTTGAGGAATTTCAGTCTGGTTTTAGAGAGTATCACAGCACTGAAACTGCATTAGTGAGAGTTACAAATGATATTCTCATGGCCTCAGATAAGAATCTTGTGTCTGTTCTAGTCTTGTTAGATCTCAGTGCTGCTTTTGACACAGTAGATCACATTGTTCTTGTAGAAAGACTTGAACATGTTGTAGGGATCAAAGGAACAGCGCTAGGCTGGTTTAAATCCTACCTGTCTGATAGATTTCATTTTGTAAATGTACATGACAAATCTTCTTCATACTCCAGGGTTACTTGTGGAGTACCACAGGGTTCAGTGCTTGGGCCAATTCTTTTTACTATATATATGCTCCCAATTAGTAACATCATTAGACAGCATGGGATAAACTTTCACTGTTATGGTGACGATACTCAGTTATATTTATCCATTAACCCTGATGAACCTAATCAGTTAGTTAGATTACAGACTTGTTTTGAGGACATAAAAAATTGGATGACTCTAAACTTTTTGCTTTTAAATCAAGACAAGACGGAAGATCTCATCTTTGGACCAGAAATCCAGAAAAGGAAATTGCTTAGTCAATCACCTGACCTGAGCGGAATTAAATTAGTCTCCGAGAACAAAGTAAGGAACCTTGGTGTTATCTTTGACCAGGAGATGTCATTCAAATCCCAGGTTAATCGGGTTTGTAGGATTTCCTTTTTCCACCTTTGGAATATTGCTAAAATTAGAAGCATCCTTTCCAGGTGTGATGCTGAAAAACTAGTTCATGCATTTATTACATCAAGACTGGATTACTGTAATTCATTACTCTCAGGAAGTCACTGATTCACTGGAATAAATACAATAAAGTTTATCTCTCAATAAATTGAATATTTACAAACACAAAAATCACAATGTAACCATAGAAACATTACGTTGTGTGAGTGGATGTGTATGTGTGTGTGTGTGTGTGTGTGTGTGTGTGTGTGTGTGTGTGTGTGTGTGCGTGCGTGTGTGCTCTGTCTTCTCCATCCCCAGTGAGTCGTGGAGGATGGCTGCTTATTCTGAGACAGGATCCTCTGGAGGTTTCTTCCTGTTAAAAGGGAGTTTTCCTCTCCACTGTCGCTAAATGCTTGCTTAGTATGAGGACACAAGACTGCTCAGGTCACTGTGTTCAATAATGGAGACATCGTGAAGTTGCAGACTTCTCCACAATCTTTTGCCTCACCCACGTGCTAAGAGATGCGCTCATGACATCACAGAGTCAAATTCCGCTTGGACTGCCAGTGCCTATCAGCTGCCTCTGGAGTCCCACAGACCAAGAAGACTTTATAAGACTCTGTTCAGCTTGACAGCATCCCTAACTGCCAGTGTCCACCAGCAGGTTCGGGGGATGGTGCCATGACAGGCACCGACGACCCTGTGGCCACAGCTCTGGTCGGCCGCCTCAACATTTGAGGCACGGAACAGGGCCCTTTCAGACTCAATGTTCCCCTTCTCCCTTGGAAGTTTTATTACAGCCAGTTAGATATATTTAATAATATAATAATGGTAAATGGTAAATGGCCTGTATTCGATATAGCGCCTTCTAGAGTCCTGGAACCCCCCAACGCGCTTTACAACACAATCAGTCATTCACCCATCACACACACATTCACACCCTGGTGGGGATGAGCCACAATGTAGCTACAGCTGCCCTGGGGTGCACTGACAGAGGCGAGGCTGCCAAGCACTGCCACCAATGGTCCCTCCGACCACCACCAGCAGGCAAGGGGGTTAAGTGTCTTGCCCAAGGACACAACAGCAGCAACAAACTGAGTGGGGCTCGAACATGCAACCTTCCGATTACGGGGCGAGCACTTAACTCCTGTGCCATCTTCGCAATAATATATTGTTCTTGCTTTCACAGCTATTGGAGCTGTGCTGCAATCACCCACCCTAGGTCTCATGGAAAACAGAGGCCCGCAGAGAGTGTGCACACAATTTTGTTTTTTTTTAACAGCTTGGGGGCCTGCGGGTACACTCTGTAAGTCACTCCAGCTCCTCCAAGTGAGAGCCAGCTCCTGTTGGTCACATCAACGAGCCGGGAACGAGCCCGACTTATTGCGAGCAATGCGGACCAAGCTCTAATATCGGTCATACAGGGACGTAACAACCCGTCTCAAAGGGCCTGGTACCCCATACTCCCAAAGTACCCCCCACAGGGACATGGTCAAACGCCTTCTCCAAATCCACAGAACTCATGTAGATTGGTTGGGTGAACTCCAGGGCCCCCCTAAGGGTATTGAGCTGGTGCAGTGTTCCATGGCCAAGACAAAAATCACATTGTTCCTACTGGATCCGAGGTTCAACTATCTGAGGGACCCTCCTTTCCAGAACCCCTGAACAGACTTTACCAGGGAGGCTTATAAGTGTGATCAGCCTGTAGTTGGAACACATCCTGCAGTCCCCCTTTTTAAATTGGGGGACCACCACCCTAGTCTGCCAGTCCTGTGGAACTACTTCAAATGTCCACACAATATTCCAGAGCTCCACAACATCCAGAGCCTTTAGGAACTAGCACCAGAAATTGGAGAGCCCAGTCCAAAGTCCCCAGACTCCACTTCCTCACTGAAAAACGTGCCGGTAGGACTGAATATGTCTTTAAAGTACAGCGCCCCCGATGCACCAGGTGGTGGACCAGAATCTCTCCAAAGCAATGCAGAAGTCGTGCTCCATGGTCCTCCCACGCCTGGGTTTTTGCCCCCGCGACTACCCGAGCTGCATTTCACTTAGACTGCCGATACCTATCAGCTGCCTCTAGAGTCCAACAGGTCAAGAAGACTCAATAGGACTCTTTCTTAAGCTTGACAGCATCCCTAATCTCCGGTGCCCACCAGCGGGCTCAGGGGTTCAATTCAATTCAATTCAAAAATACTTTATTAATCCCAGAGGGAAATTGTGTGTCGCCACAACCGACACTGATGACCCTGCAGAAGCAATTCAGGTCGGCTGCCTAAATATGAGACCCCTCCCACAACTGGTGAGCCCATCAGAAGGCCACCACCACCAAGCCTGGCCACCACATGCTTGCCAGGCTTGGGTTCAGAGAGAGGCCCCGGTGACCAGTCCTGGCCGAGAAAACGTTTTCATTTATATATTACTTCATAAGTTGTCTGTGTCTCTGCAGGAGTCCCTGAGATTTGATTAAATCACAGTCCTCAGGTAATAACAGAACAGTTATGAATCTTTACACTGAAGCAGACATGTCTTTGCTTACCAGGGAAGGGCATGTTGAGGAAGTGGCCATGCACGCTGCTGGTGACCACACCCAGGTAGTTGGTTGCCTCCAAAGTGTAGTTTCCATTATTAAAATGTGTTGGGTTCTTAAAAGTGAGGCATCCCTCTATGTCATCCTTGTAATAATCCACATCTGGATGCACATACTTATTGGGAGTAAGTTCCTAAAAGAAAATAATGACAATGTCAAAATATCTATAATTAATGTTTTTGGTTAGCAATCAGCAACAGCTCTAAACCTGCTGAGTGTGATAATGCATCAGTCAGCCAGAGAAAACATCTCCAATAACTTATATCGTGGTGAAGTAGAAGAACAGGGCAAGAGCCCTTGAGTCAAAGAAGAATATTTAATCAGTGAAGATAAATTAACGCTTCGACAGTGGTGTCTTCGTCAAAGTTACAGCTTAAATGTTGCAACAGTAAATGTTGTAGCCAGGTGTTCGCAGACTAATTAGACGAAACAGTCTTGTGCTCACTGATTATTGAGTTGAGGGCTGGAGAAGATCCACTGTCATCAATTTGATGCAGGTGTTCAATTTTACAAAACACTGAGCTTGGGTAAATATTTTAGTGTAAATAATGCTCAAAGCCAACTAGAACAACATTTGTAGCATACCAAAAGGCCAAGTATTTCGTTTAAATGACCACAAGATAACTTTTAACTTTCAGGCACAAACTGCGTCGCACATCCTGGGACACATCATATCTTTCTGGTATCTGGACCAGAAAGATACTGCTCAACGACTTTGCTATCAATTAGGGAGCAACAAGCCCTTTTCAAAGGCCCCTTATCTGGAACCCAAGGTCTCATGCAGAAGATGAGACTTTTACTCTCTGAATAAAGTTTCTTTCTTGACATAAATTACTTTAAAACTTTTTTATTTCATAAGTGTCATATAATCCTCTTCTGTTGAACGAACAAGATGATTAAATCCAAAGTGTATAAATAATGTGTGCATTTATCAATGATGGGTTAAAATTAATATTTTTCCTGTAAAGATTCAAATCAGATCTTAAATTACACCAGATCAGTAATTGTTGATTCTAGTAATTTAATCTATCGGTATGAACACAGTAACAGCATATTATTCTTTAATGTATAACATTTAGCTCCATATAACTGTTATAATATTTTCACTTCACACTAAGAGTAAATATCTGAGTGAAGGAGGGATCTTCTGAGGTTTTTTTTTTTTGGTAACGCCTTAAAACTTGTCAAATTCTGATTTGTCTGAATTTGTCAACAACATTTAATAAATACAGGGATCACTTCCTGATTCTTCAGTCCTCCAGCAGTCCCTGATTAGGCCAATCACGGCAAGCACTTGGAACCATTCTCTCTTGGCAACGCTTGAGAGTGATTTCAGACACTACAACACCACAGAGGTGGAACATCTAACCTGCAGACCCCGGTTGCATCTCATGGCCGGACTAGAAATCTGAATTCAAAGGGAACTACGACTCTTTGGGATTCTTGTAGCCGCGACGTCTGGTAAATCACCATTCTGGCTGCCTTTTGTCCGGAACCGCTGAGAGCAACATTCACACAAGTGTTCGTAGACTCTGCACAATGGTGTCGGATGGTTTTATGAATAATCTCTAGCTTATTAAACCATACAGTTAAACTGATTTTACAACCCAGACATCACAAGATCTCTCAGATACTTACATGGGTTTGCTATAAACATCTAGCTTACATTCCACCATTTCATTCATTATCTGTTATCCTGTTCAACCATCATTTTATTTGTCCTGTATAATCATTAGTTTATGGTTAGGGTTAGGCATAGAATGAAATTCATTTTATAAAACCATATACTTGACTTTGTCTGAATTAACATGAAGTGTATGTTCCCTGAATATTCAAATAATCTAGAGTCTTCTGATCTTATGATCAAACATTCAGACCAATACGATTGATAATTCATATTTATAAGGATTATCAATCTTATTGATCACTTAACAAATATGAAGTCAATCCTCACTGCTACGCATTTCTACAGTGGGAAACATTTCTAATACACATTATAAAATACATTAGACAACAATAAAATTAACACCAAATCAGAGGAAGCAAGACAAACTGAATTCTTCATTCACCCCCAAGATTCAGTGGTGTTCAAAGTGAGAATCCAATAAGCCTCTTTGGGCAGGAGAAGATTAATAATAGCGCCATCTCTCGAAGGTGTGGAGATTGTACGTGTGTGTTGTCTTAATATGTTTAAGTGGACATATCTTAACTTTAACCTGTAACATGTGGACATTCCCACATTGTGGGGTCGTTTTGCTGGTCCACACAATGCTTAACACCCTAAAACTTGGTTTTAGGAGTTTGGTGAGAATTAATTTTTAGTTTAGGTTAGGGTTAGAAAAATAACCTCATTGGTTAGGGTTAAGGTTAAGGTCTGCTTAGTAATGCATCACATATTATTAACAATGCAATTAAACAGTTGATAATTTATTTAATAGTTTATTAATGCTTAACAATGCACTAAGCACTGTTAATAAAGGGACCTTATTGTAAAGTGTTGATGAAAAATTTTACTTATAGTATTTAGAATGGATAAAAGGATCTGAGGCAGGAGCACACGGGGAGGTAGCAGATATAAGAGGATACTTCTGATACAAGCAGATAAAGGTCCAACTGGAGCGGAACCCAGAGATTTAAAAAACAAAACAATCAAAAACTTGGCTTGTCACCAGTACTTCACCCAAAATTGTATATTTTAAAATATATTTTTAAATATAACAAGTACAAAGTAGATATGATTCCTACCTTGTTGTCATGAAACCATCTTAAAGTTGGAAGGGGTGAACCACGAACGGTGAACAGTATGCACGTGTCGTGATAGCGGGCCGGCTCCTCCAACTTCACGATGGTAGGAGGGACTAAAAAACAAAACAAAAGAGAAGACCACTGTTCTGTCATTTGATTTCATTTACTGTTCTGAAATATAATATTCAATAAATGAGCATAATAAAAATATACTTTGTAAAATGAATAGAACAAGAAGAAAACCATAACATGAGAGGGAGCAGAAAGAAGCAAAAAAGCTGTCGTAGTCCCTTCTATGCTCACTCAGTTTCCTGCTACTTCAAGTTATATTTCAGCTCATACCTGTCTGGCAGTTCATATCATGTGAAAGGCAAGGCAAGGTAGCTTTATTTATATAGCACATTTTATACACAAAGGCAATTCAATGTGAAAGGTGGTCCATTCAGATCTGATGACCCTCATGCCATCTGAGGTGTGCCCCAAGGTTCAGTTCTTGAACCACCTCATTTTGCCCTGTATATACTCTGGGTTCCATTTTCTGAAAGCATGATGTTGTATTTCATTGCTGTACAGATGATCTAATCTGTCACTAAAGAGTAGGAACTTCAGATATTCTGGACCTGCCCAACACTACAAGGATATTGGTGGTCTATTTTAGATGCACTCTCCAAGATTTGTCAGATGACTGTGTGCCTAGATCCCGTGACTGCTTTGTTTAAAGTGGTCAAGGCGAGTGCTCCTTTAGACACATGCCAGTTAGACATGAGAAAGGAATTATCTGACCTTGCGTTTGTACCATCGGTGTACTACAGTGTCATTAAAGCTTCTGGCTCACAGAGCAATAAAAAAAGCGCTGCAGCTGCAGAGATCATAGATGATCTCTGAAGGGTCATTGAAAAAAAGCCTGTGTAATGGACTCTGTATAGCTTCTGAACAGTATGCAGTTTGTGGTTTTCTGGAAGTTTATTTTTACAATTTAAGTTTGTAAAAAAAGTTTGTCTGACAGTATTAAAACATGTTGGTAAAGTCCGACTGTCCAACGTGTTTTTTCCCAAACAGAGCCATGGGTCCTTTATCCATTTGCTGGGATACATAACCAAACCATTTCCAGCATCTTCATGGATGGGCATTATGTAGGGACTATTACCCCCCCAAATCTGTCCCCCAAAGATGTGTAGAAGATGGAGGGAGCTCCAAGTCCCAGAGATCCAGGAGCTGCCCCAGAGCGCAGGGACCCCAGCCAGAGTCCGAGGAGATATCAGCGGCAAGCCCACAGGCCCTCAGCCTCCCACCCCCAAGCCGGCCAAGCCCGGAGCCCAGCGACCCAGGACCCAGGGACAACCAGCCCTGCCGGGGACCCAACACAGCCCAGGGTCTCAGATTTCACCAGGCAGCCACCAGGGTCGATCAGGCAGACTCCAAAAATATTAAACCCCCTGATCCGGGAGCCACGAACACTCAGGCAGACCAAGGCACCACACTCCACACCAAATGTGGCATGGGGAGGGCAGGCAAAGATGTGTAGCTGCACAAGAAGTCCCAGGAGAGGGGAGGACTCCAAGACCCCACCTGACATTTACAGTCATATACAGACACAGCAACACACTCGCTCCCTCATGCTCACACATACACATAATTAATTAATACATCAAACTTATATAGCACTTGTTTAGGACACTCAAAGACGCTTTCATGCACTCACATTCACGCACTGCTAGTGATGGTAAGCTACTGTGTAGCCACAGCCACCCTGGGGTGGTCTGACAGTGGCCAGGCTGCCATTTGGCGCCGTCAACCCCTCTGACCACCACCAACACAGGGAAAGTTGGGTGAAGTGTATTGCCCAAGGACATAACAGCAGAATACCCCTGGTGGGAGCTGGAAACAAACCAATGACCCTCCGATCAATTAAATTAAATTCAAAGGTACTTTATTAATCCCAGAGGGAAATTCAATTGTTTCAGTACACACAATTTTGAGATCAGACATACATACATAGACACATGACAATTGGTGACTGTGGTCATTTGCAATCCGAGTTGCGCTACCGTAATAGATCAAGAGGGTTTATATGAGGATAGAGTCAGGGGGGAGGGGAAAAAAGGCACTTCAGAGTTATCCCCCGACAGAGAGGATAGCTTTGCTATGCAAAAAAACACCTCAGACAGATATGCACACAGACTTCAGACATTACACAACATAAGTGTCCACAAGGTGGGGAGGCAGGGGCGTGTCCAGGGAGTGGCCTGGGGTGGCACATGCCACCCTTGGAATCTGATTGGCCACCCCAGGTGACACCACACTAATTTACCTTTAAATAGGCTTTTCATTGTCCACAAAAGGCTTGGGGGTAAAACAAAAAATGCATAACCATTGGTGCCACCCATGCACAAAGTTATGTCTCACCTGGGCCACCCCATTTTAAAAGATCTGGACACGCCACTGTGGGGAGGCAGGATTGGGACTCTCCTCACTTCAGTGCGTGCAGCCGCATGGAGCAGCGCTCATCACCTCTGTTTGGACAGGGGAGGGAGATAATGGGTTAGAGGTCACATTGACTCCTAGATACGGTTCCACGGCCTCACCGGTCACAGTCCCGCCCAGGCTGGGATAGGGAGAAAGAGTTTCCATTGCGACTGCAGCATTCCACATTTCTTCTGAGAGGAGTTTACACTTCAGCCTCACAGGCTCCAAGGGCACCAGATTCAGATAAGAATTGTTTTGGGGACAGACAGAGATCATTTCCTCTCCGTCTTAGAGTTCTGTTGGTCTTCAACCCCTCTAGATCCAATAATGATGTAATTAATCTATCCCAATACGTGCTGATCCGTCCACTCGCTCCTTGATGGAACCCACCTTTTGTGCCAGAGCCTGAATCTCGCCAAAGTTCCAAGCTTACGACTCATCTCGACAATTATGAGTTTGTGCATTCACAGCACGATGCATTCCATCCCTGAGCTCCAGGATTAAGCCAATATTCCTCGAAAGCTTGTTAATTT